GTTATTCACGTAGCTGAAGTTGCGTACCTTACTTCGATTTGGGGGTTTAGTGTAGACCAAGCCTTATTCTTGTTTGTCCTTTATGTAACTAAAGTGTTTTGAGGCTGTTATAATTCTAAGATGTTCAGCCACTGCAATACCATTGTGTAAATGCTTAATAAAACTAGGAAAAATTTCAACCATCCAATTTTGTGTGCATGCGCACAGGTTCTGGTTTCACAGCTGAAGTATGTGTATATTAGTTAATGCAACTCTTAGAGAAGTGAGCTTTATCATGTCCCAGATCAAGAAGCATAAGAGCCCACTGAAAAGAAATAATTGTGTTGCTTACATGATATTCCACAAACCATGGTTCCTACTTAATTAACTCTTGCTTCAGTATTGTGGGCCTCCTGTCTGTCCAGCTGCAGCTGCTGTCCCCATAGCATATTATGTCTCATAAAGCTCTCCTAGAAGAGAGACAACCTTGAGGTTTGAAGTTGTATGTCCACAAGTTACATATTCCAAAATCTTTTGGTCTCCCCTGTCATTAGCTGGATGCACGAAGTGATGCACTAGATTAAAAAAAAGAAGAAGATGCTATCATTGGTAAATTCCAGTTATCTACTACGGGCTTAGTGATCTATGATCATAGGATTCCATTTGAGATTATATGGTTCTGTGGTGAAGAATCATACAATAAGGGGAAAATAGGGCTTTGAATCTTTGTATTTTACCATTTAAAATTACCAGCTGGTATGGCCCAGTAGTTCTTTTCTGTTCTAGTTAAAGCACATAAAAAGGAGTAGTCATTCATATTTATTTCAATCAGGTACAGATCCAATTCCTGTTGTGAAGATGAAGCCAATGGTTATAAAGCAAGAATGATCAGCCAGCTTAATATTCTAAGTCTGGTATGCCTTTTCCAAAAAAGAATGATGACTTGTACAATAGGCCATCTAATCAAGCATTTCAGTTCTACTGTTTTGTTTAATAATTCTAACTTTCCACCTCTCTGCTTGAATTTATTTTGCACTATAAATTTATTTTTTCAAATTTTGAAAAGAGAAATGAGTAATTAAGGCATTATGCCTTAGAGTATTCCTTGCCATATGATTTTCCATAGGACCTCCAAAAAATTGACATTGAAGACAAACAGAAGGGACTAAGCTGGACCATACAGTACAGAGTCTGCAGAGGAATATTACTTGTCTAGATCTTAGCCTGCCTGGTTTCCCATACAATGCTATCCATCTGAGATGGTGGCATAATATAATGGAACTCAAAATAACACAACTTTAAATACTTAATGCAAGTATGTAAGAATGGCCCTACTGGGTCAGACCAAAGGTCCATCTAGCCCAGTATCCTGTCTTATGACAGTGGCCAGTGCCAGGTTCCCCAGAGGGAATGAACAGAACAGGTAATCATCAAGTGATCCATTTCCTGTAACTCATTCCCAGCTTCTGGTAAATAGAGGCTAGGGACACCATTTCTGCCAATCATTTAGGAGGACAGACTAAATGATTACACTGGTTACTTCTAGCCTTAGAATATATATGCAAATGAAATCTGGTAGCACATAGGAATCTCTTCAATTTTTCCTGTTTATTTATAGAGGGAGCCAGAGAGCCTCTATTTCCAGCAAGCCTCCTACCTCTGCAGCCTATGAGTGTCACTTGTTGTGAGCACTAATATTACTAGATCCTCCGCTTCTATCAGTTTCAGTTCAGCCCCAAATAGGCTAATCAACAAAGTGAATGAATTCTCAGATAGGATACAAGTAAACAATATCTGGCATCAGCCCAGAAGGACTGGACTGGAAAGTTATGTATTGGCTGTGGAATTTCCCTGTGAAAGGGAAGCTGGAAGGGAAGTATCAAATCCCTACAGACAGACACATACACAGAATATACTGAAAACGGGAGGACTGATCACTACCTTGTGGCGGGGGAGGGATCACTACCTGTGGAAGGGGAGTCTGGGAGGAGGAAATTTCATGAGGTTCCCTGTGAGGCTGTTTTCAGGCATCATCCCGTCTGGTGGGGGAAGAAGTGGGCGTTGTCTTTTCCCACAAACTGTGTATGGCATCTTAGAGTAGAATGTATTCAGAGCTGGTGTTGGCGTGATGATTACATTAAGTTACAAGTTTCAAGGGTGAGATGACATAATTAGAGCTACACAAATTTCAAATGCTTTATTTAGAAAAAATAAATAAAGTAAATAACAAAAGACAAACATTTCATTTTGAATGTGTCAAAATAAAATGTTTAGATGTTTTTTGAATTTCCTCCTCTTCAAACCTCTCCTCCCCCAGCTGAAAAAAATTTGTCAAATTCATCACAAATTTGACATGTTTTGGCCAACCCAAATCTGTGCGCATATATATATATATATGGGGTGGAGAATTTTTTTTTGTCAAAATTTTACTAGTCGTCATGCACATATCATCTCATTGCAATACTGAGACTATCAAACAAGAACCCACAATATTCAGACTTAATTTTAGTTGATCTCAGCCAGTTTGGGAATGTTTTTCTATTCCCTACATGTACTAGCTGCACCCTTGTTTGAATATGAAGTTTTTAATGTTTCCTTACTGTAATGGCTCTGGAAAGTAGCAGGTCAGTTTGCAGAACTGACAAAACAAAAACATTCCATCTGCAGTTCTAATTAACTATCAAACCTATTCCCTCATACACTATTCTATTTAACATATGTGATATGTTCACCAAGGGGAAATTCACCACTGTGCAGAGGACCAGTACAAGGTCTTGGTAGCGTTTCTCACCTGCTTAACTGGTACAGAAGACTTGCTGGGTGGCTTTGCAGCAGCGAATTTGATGATGACTTCAGATGTGAGTATGTATGTATTTTTTTTAAGGTACCCGCTAATTACTCCTACCCAATGTTGTTCAAAAGTATTTGCTAATTAATTACTCAAAATGACATGAGACATTAATTTCCTGAATTATCAAAAACTTATACAAAGTTGGATTGGGGGGGGAAAAACAAAGCTTACAACTGCTGTTTCCAGCATGCAAAACCATTTTAAAAAAAAACCTCTTCTATTGGGTGTTTGACCTACTTCTCTCTTCTTGTTACTCTAATTCTACCTAATCTTCTCATCACAAGTACTGTATATAACAAAACATTTCAGGTGATTAGAGAGTATAAAGGGAGCTGAACTATGACTTACTGGCTTATGTAGTTGAATAGCTCTAATTTCAGAAATTAAAAAGATCTAGCAATTTGGTAAATCCAAAGTAAAATTATAACAAAGGCCAATATCCAGGACACCAAAAACAAACAATGAAGGCATCCATGTTACATCTCAAATTATTTCAACACTCCAATGTGGAAACTACAGAACCTGACCCACCAAAAAAGAAAATCAACCTTCTGCTGTTGGTATCTGACTCAGATGATGAAAGTGAACATGTGTCAGTCTGCACTGTTTTGGATTGTTATCAAGCAGAATCCCTCATTAGCATGGATGCATGTCCTCTAGAATGGAGGTTGGAGCATAAAGGGACAGATGCTTTAATGCATCTGGCACGTAAATATCTTGCAGCGCTGGCTATACCTGTTCTCACTTCCAGGTGACACTGTACACAAGAAGTGGGCAGCATTATTTCCTGAAAATGTAAACAAACTTGTTTGCCTGAGTGACTGACTGAACAAGAAGTAGGACTGAGTGGACTTGTAAATCTTCAGATCCTACATGTTTTATTTTTGAATGCAGATTTTTTTTTTGTACATTCTACATTTGTAAGATCAACATTCATGATAAAGAGATTGCACCACAGTACTTGTATTAGGTGAACTGAAAAATACAATTTCTTTTTTTATAGCACACACATTTGTAATAAAAAATAAATATAAAGTGAGCACTATACACTTTGTGTTCTGTTGTAATTGAAATCAATATATTTGAAAATGTAGAAAACATAATAGAATACCATTTAAATTTTTGAACAGTACAATTAATAACTTTTTTAATTGCACAATTAATCATGATTAATTTTTTTTAATTGCTTGATAGCCCTACTATTACATATGCAAACACTGGTACGCACAGTTATAGTCAATGTGAGCTTCAAAATAGGCACAAGAATACATGTGAACCTAGAATCTCAGTATAACTACATAGCCCCATGGACAGAATTCTTCTCAGTAGAGACTGATTAAAAATGAATTTTCTCTGTACTAAAATAATGCACACAACATGTGTCCATGTGGTCTGGTTTTGGGGGGAGTTTTGCTATGTATTTTGGGTAGTCCAAGATCTAAATTGTATTCCCATTGCCACTAATAGCATTTTGACTTTTAGTTTTAAAGCAGCCTAACTACACAACTACTAGTTTTTTCTCTTTTATAAGCTTCAAATCAAAAAGCCATTTTTATACTTTCTAGGAGTCCCATACCTAAAGGCTAAAAGGGTATCACTTAAAAGAATCCAGATAGCACTGGAAAGGAAGTTGGCACATTATGATTGCCTAGCTGACTCATATACAACAGGAATGAGTCAAAAGTCCAAAATAAAAACATTCATTATCAGGTCAAAGCGATTACATAACATACAATTATGACTATATTATAGAAATTGATGGCTGGTCAGCTGCAAAAGAGGCTGTATTTGCATACGTGATAAATAGCTGAATAAAGCAAGTAGTTGGGATCATCATATCAGGCAATCAGCAAAAAATAATTATGGTAATTATGTTTGTATTTAGTTAGCGTAAAATGAAGGTGGTACATTCTTTCTGCTATACCGTATCAGAAAAGATGGCAAATCATTGATCTCTTTCCCCGTCTCCCCAGCCATGTGTTGGGTCCAGATGTGGTTGTTCTCGCTTCATTAGCTGTTTTTTCTCCCAATGCATGAGAAAAGAGGTTCTTGCCTGCTCCCTACCTGAGACAACAGTTCTGGGTTTCTGGCCAATCTCGATAGTGGTTTTACACTTCTTGTTCACTGTGCCACTTCTATCACACCCATCTTACACCTGTAAGACCAATATTACTCTTTCCTGGTAGTTGGCTTACTTCTATTTTGTATGACTGTATTTATCCAGTAGTGGAAATGCAAAGAATCCTCTGAAAAGCAACAAAATTATCCCAAAATAACTGCCAGAGGATGTAAAATAAACACAAGGATCTCCCATTGCTACTAAGGCTGAAAGGGAGATCAATGATATCCTGAGGATCACTGTCCTAGAACAAGGATTCAGAAGTCACCTAGAGAGTCCCCTACTGCATGGGAGGACAGTGTTACTTATTAAGCTATCAATTCAATTTTAAGCCAGGCACTTTTGTGCTGAAGGATGTTGTGGTCAATTAACTACTGTCACTAATGTGACTGTCACATTCAAGAAGAGGAAGCTTGTTTTTAAATACTCTCCCTTTAATTTGGGATAAGAATAACCAAAGTTCAGTTGCTCATTTAAACTTATCTGGACTTCTTGGGTAAAAACCCTGGGTAGGAAATTTCACAACAACCAAGCTCTCTCATGATTTGCTGTGTTCTGACTTGATCAGGTCTAAAATACTGCAAAAAGAACAAGCCATGAGTGAAGCAATATCTGTTATTTTTTTTTTTTTTTTTTTTTTTTTTTTTTTTTTTTT